AGTCTTTGGAGGCCTAGCGGCCCGTCTCATGTTAGTATTCGGAATCAGCACACTCGATTACCTATTGTTCGCTAAGTTTTAAGCTAGAAGCGGTTTATCACTTGGTGTCCTTTCCTCGTAAGTTTGAATGCTGTATAAAATTTTTTAAATAACGTTACGTGAATTTTTAGTTTATGTCTAGCAATACAGTATTTTTGTAACACATTATGATAAATCTCATCTGATATTTTTCTACATTCGCTAGTTTCCTGTATTTCTGAAAAAAAATCATTAACTTTCTTGTTTTTCGAAGGGGAAAAATCCTCTTCCTGTTTTTTGAAAGTAAATAGTACGAACTCTAGGCTGCCGATCTCACGTAAAATAGATAAATACTTTCTATACATTTCTTCTACACCAATAAAAATAAATGTCGTTCCCAATAAATCTAACTATTCTTTGTTCGTTACGAATGTATTATTGAAAGGACAGAAAAAATCGAGAAAATATTGAATTCTTTACTCCTTTTCCAACGAAAAACGAATCTGTTTTATCTTTAACCCAAACAAACACCACCATCAGCTTTGTTCAATACGCGTTTAGCGGCATAGGAAAAGCAAGTAACTCTGTTCAGTATTTATCCGCAGGCTTCGTATTTGTCCTGTTTTTGTATTCTGTTTTTTCCTGTATTTGATGTTTTTCTGCAGTCTTAGTGTGCACTGTGGTAAAATCTGTTAGAAAGTCTCTGCCTCTTATGTGAATCCAATCCATCAGCTAGACAAATACTCTTACTTCAGTTTCTTTTATCATTCGGTCATTGAAGAGAAGAGAAGACTAACATAAATGACGTTTACACTCAAGATCACAATGTTCCCATAAAGACTGACTGTATAAATTCTACACACTCATTCCTGTTCTTGCTTTTTGAAAGTGAATAGTACGAACTCTAGGCTGTCGATCTCACGTAAAATAGATAAATACTTTCTATATATTCCTTCTACACCGATAAAAGTAAATGTCGTTCCCAATAAATCTAACGGCTTTTTGATTGTTATAAATGTATTTCTCGAAAGGAAGGAAAAATCGAGAAAATATTGAATTCGTTGATATGCTCCTTTTCCAACGAAAAACGAATCTTCCATTCTTTTTATCTTTAACCAAAAGCAGTCGTAACGCTACTCACCTCATCTAAATCGTATCGTTCCAGCAGATAATCCATATTGACCAACTGAAACAATTTTTGTATATCAAAATAAGTCAAATTTACTCTTGTCGTTATTCTTGATTTTAAATTTAACATAAATTCAGTTTGAAATCTCAATGATCCTATAGGTAAATAGGGTCGTTGTGATACGAACAACATTTGTTGTCGTTCAGGCATTTCTAAATAATTTGCCTGTATTGGCCACAGACCAGCGCATATTCGAAACAGACTTGTTTTACCACAACCGGTTGTTCCACTAATCAGCAGATTTTCATTGCGTCGAATTGAACTATTTAAATTACGTTGTAGAACAACTGTTTCTATCGGTTGTGGTATAGACACAGTCAAATTTTCAAACGAAAATTCATTGTTATTGTACACACGCAGTTGTTGCCGTTCTTCATCTTCTAAACGTTGTCGATGATATTTAGCTAGATATTCCAGACGCTGTTTCACTTGTCGAATACGATGACCCATTGTAACTGCTATTAAACTCGATTCTGTTATCCATACGAGAGTTGTCATTAGACCAAATACATAGCCATAGAAGGCAATTATACCTAATGGAAGAGAAAACAATCTGACATTTGAAAGGATGTGCTTTATACACATACCAATATATTTTGTTGCTGCTGTCGGTGTTTGCGATTGTGGTGTTCGGATAAAGAAGAAGAGTACTGCCGGTAGAACATATGTAATCAATCCACTTAACGAAGCTGAAAAAAAGAAAGAAGTACCGTTTTTCTGCGATTTTTCAGTGAAATTAGTAACAAAAAACATCTTGTAGAATGAATTTTGTGTTTTAGACCCGTTGCTCTCTTATGTCGCTTTTGATGCCGTTTAGCTCTTTCTCTTGGATATTCATCTAGTTTAAAGAAAGTTCTACCGAACTGATGAACTCGAATTCTATGAGATTTTTCCGAGCAATTAGAAACGACAACGCATTGGTATTGAACGGTTTTTTGGCTAATATTCACAGCTTCCATCAGAAATGATTTACAATGCAGATAATCAGTTATGGTTTCCACCGATTAAATGTTAGAAATAAAGTTTGAACTGACAAAAAAATTTACAGAATTGAAATGAGTCCACTTTGGAAACGTTTACAATACTAGGAGCGCGACCGAAAAAACTTGATCATCCACATTCCTATAACACGTATAGAGAGTGATCCTACAATGCACGTCGAACAACAAGAGCCCCAGAGAATGTTTGTTTGGTCTCGATAACAGAGTGAAGACTTATTTACGTACAGGCGTCTGTTTCCCGTGTTTTCCTTTTTCTTGTTCTCCCCCAGCTTCAGGGTCAGAGCAAGAAAATGATAAGATCAGATCTTAGTATTTTTTAAGAAACAGACACCGGTCAGGCTCAAGGCCAGAGCTAGGTTTTTGTTTTCATAATCACCGTTTTGTTTTGCTAACGAGGAAACGTTTTTAAATGCCTCTTCGCTTTTTCAACGAAACCAAGTGGGTTATAGGTTATCGATAATGCTGATATGAATATGAGAGCTGCTCTTAGGGCTTCGAAGACTCGTTTTTCTGAAAAAACAGTTTTTCAAAAACTCTGAAAAACAACTGAAACTTTTCATAATGAACCATACTTGTAGCCCCCACATTTCTGATTAAAATGAGATCTCTCCCAACTCTACTTGACCTTTCTTTGCAAAGTTATAGAATTTACAAGAACAACCCTAAATTAACTTCTTCTTATTTCTGTCGCTTTGAGTTGACAATGAACATTTAGGGCTTTTCTTGTAAATTCTATAACTTTGCAAAGAAAGGTCATGTAGAGTTGGGAGAGATCTCATTTTAATCAGAAATGTGGGGGCTACAAGTATGGTTCATTATGAAAAGTTTTAGTTGTTTTTTAGAGTTTCTGAAAAACTGGTTTTTCAGAAAACCGAGCCTTCGAAACTCTAAGAGCAGCTCTCATATTCATATTTGGAATCAGCATTATCGATAACCTATAGCCTACTAGGTTTCGTTGAAAAAGCGAAGGGACACTTAAAAACGTTCCCTCGTAAGTTACGTAGTATATAGTGACCATTAATTCTTGGAAAAATTTCAAAGTAACTCTCATAGATGTTGAGTAATGTCTTAGAGATTTCTGTGTTGAACAAGAGATACCTAACGACATTTACAGTCTGATAGTTACATTGGAAGGTGTCCACAGGGTCTCCAGAACTGATTGTTGCGCAGGATGAGCGATTAGCAAGCAGAACACCTAGTTTTTGTATATATACAACAAGCTCCTGGTCTTGATTTCTTTCACTAATCAGGATAAAAACAGCTCCTAATCAGGAAAACAGACAAGGACTTTTTTTACTTACAGGTATCTAACCAGACAAACTGGACATCCTCTAGGGAGAGTACTCTGATCAGATCCCATCTCCGCAGAACCAGCATGAACTTATTGCTAAAACATTACATCATGTCCACAGATATCCATCACACTACTCAATATTCTAAGCAATGATCAGTCACGAACAATAATCATATCTGAATCATCCATAACCAACATAAACATAGAGAATTTGTTGCAAAAACAAGAATTTATTTCATTCTTACCCATCATACTCAATGGTAAATTAACAATTCCATACCATACTGATGCTAATAAATTATATTTATGTACACTAATTTGAAATTGTTTAAAATATTTATGTTCAACTAATTGACTTGTATAGAATGAAATGGATTCACTATTTATTTGTATTCGTTGTAAAAAGGAACGTAATTCACCTTTTAGTCTTGATTGTTGAGCTGTGATCATGTTGAATTTATTACTAATTATTGTTATGAAAATTGTACAAATAAAAAATGTTCCAAACATAATCACTAAACCAATATAATCACCTTGTGTCTGTTTATATATCCAAATACTGAATGCGATTATAGATGAAGTGATTGATATAAAACCACTGAAATATAATGAACCAAATAGAGCTATGCACATATGAGTAGTAAATTGACGAATATCATTTGTTAGTATTGTTGATAAATCATCAGTGGTCGAAATTGACGAGTAATACAATACACTTCCATTCGAACTACCTACAAAAACCAATTACAATTGTTTCACTTTCATACTGCATTGAAGTTTTTCATCAAAATACACATGTAAAACAGATTTCCATCCAATGAGCTACTTAACGAGTTTAGATGTCGTACGCTTGATTTTGTTGTTGCTTAGTGAATTAAAGATATGCAAAAATGTTACCAAAATGTCTTCGCAAGAATACACAACTGAGTAAATCATACATATTTTTCATAACCCGTAACCTGTACAGGTTACGTGTCACCTGCAATGCTCTTTCTGAATGCAGCAAGTTGTGAATATTAGAAATTTGCGCGAAGTTATTTTTAAATTTTGTTTCGTAGTATTCTACGGTTACATGTTACACACAAGAGCTCTACCTTGTTAAAATCAAGTAATGTAACGTACTTGTAAACAACAAACGATGAAATTGATCACACAAACGTTGTCGCCATTGTGCAGCAAGACACGTTTGACACAACATAATTAAACCAAAACAAATGCCTATAAATAATGCTTTTATTGATGTTTGCCAAAAGATCTTAGTAAATTCATGTTTAGCATCCGTTATATTTATTCGTCCAGCAGATACATCTGCCAACAAAGTTAAATACAGTCCACTATCAGAATTAATATACCAATATAATGTACACCATGAAGCTAATAGAAATAATAAACTAGTAATAGTTAAATAATAGATAAGAGATTTACGACGACAATATGATTGCGTTTGATAAAGCAATTGAAAACAATGAAACCAACTCATGGGTGAAATTAGTAGACGCCAATAGGCAATCGGTTTCATTCGATTATCATTATTCCGAATGGTAATGAGCGACGATGACTGTGTGGTAGAAACAGATAAAAGTGATGAAGTGGAAACACCGTTGATCGAATTCATATCACAGGCACTAAAGAAATAAATGAGATCATGACTACACTGTCAAAAAAAAGTATCTGAATAAAACACCCTGATGGTTTCAAAATACATTCATCAACGGCACATAGTGAAGGCACGTTACGTGCATTTTCTTATCCTTTTTACTGTTCGTCGTCTTGATGCACAGGGTGCATCCAAGCGAGCTTCTGGTGAAAAAACGAAAGTGACCTTTTCCAAATTTTGAGTAGCGGATCATACACTTCAGCATACGCTCTATCTTTTTGCCATTGACACTTTTTTCTAACTGCCATACTTAGCGGGAAAACCACTAAGAAAAAATTTGACCGAAAACGTTAAAAATTGCATTTCAGAATTTTTTTTGATTTTTTTCAAAAGTTTTGGTCGAGATTTTTGCTGAAAAGTCAAAGTGGTCTAAAAATTCCGTAATGAACAAAGCGACATATCCTCTGGGTCATAAGGGTTTTCGATCTTGCGCTATCGAATGGTGAAACATAGCTTATCGACCCTCCTGATCATCGCGATGATGCCTGTTTCATCACCAAATAGTAGGGTCATAAAATCATTTTTGCCACCCTCAAATGGAAAATACAGAGTTATTTCATTCATTTCATTTATTTAGATAGATCATACCATCAAGGTACATATTCAAAAACTTGAGGGTTTATAAAAGTGAATATATCCCACACAAACTAGCGTACAAATATATCAGCAAGTTGCTGAAAAAAAGAGAGGAAGTTGTTGTTGTTTTTTACCACTGGACACACAAATAGGGAAAAAACAAACAAAAAACAAAAAGACAGAACACATTTTGGTAGACTTAAAACAGATTTAGATACAACTTTAAATTGCTCTTAAATATTTTTATAGTAGAGACATATATGAACGGTTGAGGAAGTTTGTTCCAGTCTTTAGGAGTAGTATAGAAAAAAGAGGAACTAACCGTTTTTGTACTACTAAAAGGAACAAAAACAAGACAAGAATGATTAAATCGAGCAGAAAATCTAGTGATTCGGGGAACAATGAATTCAGCTGGATCTAATATCGAAAGATGATTTTAGATTCGATAGAAATTCGCTAGACGAAAACGGGGACGACGACTTTTCAAATTGTGAAGTTTAAGGTTTTCAACAAGCTCATCAATATTTACATTATAGTCAAACTTGTTCGTTATAATGTGAGCTGCAGGATACTGTACTACTTCGAGTGGTTCGCAGTGTGTAGAGTAGATATGATCATAAACGGACGAGCAGTAGTCCATTTTTGGAAGTACACAGCTATTATAAAGATGAAGCCGAATAAAGCTAGGAGCAGCGCAGAAGACACGATTTATCTCTCCTAACATCCATCGACAAGATAATGCAGTTTATTGTATATGTGTCTTCCTCTGGAGATTCTTGAGAAAGACAGACACCCAACAGTTTCGGAGAATCCTCATGGAGAATGGGAACATCAGCAACGTTAAAACTTAGTTATCAGCTGCTGTAAGTACACTTCAAGAAAGAAAACAGACATTATCGTGGTGATCAGGAGAGTGGATAAACTATGTTTCCATGTAGTTTTCTCGCTCATGCACACAAAGAAAGTAAAGGGCTCTCCGAAAAACGAATGCCATTAAGTCCCTCTATCTGATCTGCATCAGTTTGTACTAAACTGATGGGACTATCTGTTGTAAGTGTTAAACCTAAATATCTACATTGTCTTCTATTTTTTGGATTGATGGTTTTCTTAAATACCTCTGGAAAACCACGCCAGTCCGAAAACGGCTTGAGCAATACTTTGATACAGCGACATTACCGCGAACGACGTTACCGAGAACGACATTACCGCGAAGACTTGTTTGCTGGAAAAGCCGAATAAATAAGGCCGGTTTTGTATTTTGTACATCATGTTTTCAAACTTAACTGACGTTATGTGGTGACTAGTCATTATCTGATACAGCCACAGATATCTAGTTTCCCATCACGATAATATGTTTTATGTGAA